AATGTTTCGAAATCATGACTAGCGGGGTAAGATCGGCAACATAAAGCCACATTAGAAGCAAAGGATAAAAATCAAACAGATGATAAATGAAAACATGTTTGCATTTGTTATTCATGTATATATGTCTTTGAACTTGCATTTCGTTGTAATAATATTAAATGGGTGTTGGATTTGTATTTCTTTGTTTTAATAGTGAATTCCAACTTATACATTGTTAATAACATAATTTTATATACGTGCCTATCTTGCCCCATTACTGTTGCCCCTATACCAGGGGCAACTTTAATAAAAATAATTAAAATAATTACAACTTTACAAAAAGAGAGAAGTTGCCGATCTTGCCCCTATACCCGGGGCAACTTCGTCAATTTCTCTCTTCTTGTAAAGTTGTAATTATTTTAATTATTTTTATTTCCAAACTGATTGTAACCAGTTCTATAGTAAGGTAACAGTCCAATAGACAATATGCAAAGCTTTTTTTTTTTTATAGTTTACAGCAGTATTTATTACACAAAATGTAAGTAAAGCTTAACGTGCCGATCTTGCCCCGGTCTCCCCTATATGTCTCTAAAATTTAGTGAACGTTTAAAAAGTTGCATTTCTCACCCCAGCAAGAACAGTGATATAACTCAAATATTGACGATGTTGACTTTTTATATAAGGAAAAACACTTTTACATAAGTGGCTTGATTGCGCCTAGAGCCTCAAAGAAACACAATCGGTTATTGAATATGTTGTAATATGTAACAAAACAGGATAATTGATTTAATCTATTACTTATTTTTATTTTACTTTATTTCTATTGAAGTTTGCACATCGTAAATATGCAAGGGTACGCCTTAAACATAACAACTAAAAAGTCTGGCAATGAGCCTTGCTCGACTTTTCCGACATCCAACTCACAGTGGCTCGTTATCGCATGACGAAAAAATACAATTACCTGAGGTATTTAACAACAGTTTCCAAACCAATCTTTTATACAAAAATTTTTCACCAAAAACCTCCCCGAAGAAAACTGCATGAAGTCAACACCGTACGGGGGTCCCTCTAATTCAAAATTTCCTGGTTTCCATAAAGCTATAACGTGCCACTGTCCACACACAACACAAACACGTACAGTACACACATATTCTCGGAATTATACCCCATTTTTAGGGGTCTCAAAACATCGAGATTTGCAGAAAACCCGAGGATCAAATTTGACACGAATTCAATACTTATATTTCCGATTTTATGTTATATCAGCCAGAAAAAGAAAACGCTTGTGAAACATTTATCAATAGTCTAGGGTAAGAGTACATAGTTCATCGTGATATAGTTGAATTACATCACGATACGCTAATCTTGAACAATAGACGTTGTAAGAACGCCGATTGGGGAGGATATATTTATTCCCTACTGTCGGGATGGTCTAAGGTCTTAGCGTATGTGAGTGGCGGTTTTTTAAAGGCAGCAAAGACAAGTGTTTTACAAAGGTAAACCGTTTATTCCGGACGATAATGCTTACATAATTTTTTGGCAAAGGTCCTTAAGTTCAGAACTTTGGGTTGTCTTCGTAAGTTGTTTTCGGTGTCGATCTGGTCCTATGCTGGAGGGGCCCTGTGACTGCGTCGAGTGAAAAGTTCGAGATCTGATGTGACAGCACACAAAAGATGAAAGGAAACACCACAGCTGTGGACAAACGACCACAACAGGTAGTCTAGGTGGAAAAGTCTTAGTGGAAGTCTTAGTGGAAGTCTCGTTGTCCTTGAATTTTGCGTTTTTATAGGGTTTTTGCGATCGGCTCCATGTCAATTGGATAGATCTTACATCACCGTTTTCCAATTGGTCATCCACCCGTCTCCAGGTGTAAATGGAGCTTCGTTAAGTTCGTGAAAAAGGTCGGCTGGAGATGGTTTATCCGACACCATCTTTTCGAATCTGATCGCGTTTAATTGTTGACTATGACATCTTCGCTCATCTAGACATTTTTTTATCTAGTTTCGTTTTGCTTTCTAAACTGCGTCTTAACTTTTAATATTTTAAATTTTCTTCTTTTTACATCTAAAATTTGGTTTTTCCGTCAACTTTTGATGAGCGTCGACGTCAAAGTCGGGTGTCGCCGATTCGACACTTATAATTTGCTTTCCTGACGATTTAACATAACAAATTTTTACATATCTTTCCTTTTTTTAGGGGGAGGGGCTATTTCCAGGGCCTCACAACGTCGAAGCGAGCCAACCTTGCAATTCTAATAACCTTGACTCCGAAGTTTGAGCTATCCAGTTCTGTTTGATAGTTGAAATTATTTAACCGAATTGAAATTCTTTGCCAAGAGCAAATCCTCAACCAATTACCAGTGTTCAGTGATCCGGATACAGTTTTCTGGAAATAAACAACCCTGCTAACCCGATGCAATGAACACCAATAACATACCAATCACTGCCGTAAATCATCGGGCTAGAGCCAGATGATTTACGGCAGTGATTACAGTTTTCTGGGTTCTCTTCGTAGATCTATCTAACACGTATAAAGAGGTCAATTTCTCATAAAAGTCTTCTCATATGTCACCTCCCCTTGGAGATCGCTCGTGTGTCATGTTGCTTTATCCCATCAATTTCAATGCTAAACAGTGGCGCGTTATAACTTCCTGGCACCTAGGAGAATTTGAGTTAGGCAAATAGCTTATACCACAATAGTGGAAACTCTCGTGAATTAGCATGTACCGTAGTGGCGACAGCGTGAACTACTGACATCTAGCGGTTCGAGGAGAACATTAACACCGCAGACTATGCAAAGTCTAACAAAACTTGCAAAAATATTACGAAATAAATATGTTATCATCTTTTTGTCTTTATTTTATGATCTTAAAACATGAATTATAATTTTACTTAGTAGGAAACGTGGATGGATAGTGATTTAAATGAAGGAATAATAGCAACAAAACAAATCAAATTCAATAAGTGTCAGATTTTTTAAGTTAAATTCTGAGGTTTTAATTTAATTCACAATTTTTAAAAATAAAACATTTTTTCATTAAATTAAAACACATTGAACCCCAAAATGTATTATGTGCACAGTTTGATCATACATATCATGGATAATACAGTTATTACATATGTGAAATCTTTAATTTAGCATTTTTTGTTCTCAGAAAACTTTTAGATGAATCGTTATTTTTTGTCACGTATGCTTTAATAACGACTTTGAAATATTTATCTGCCAATAATTTAATACAATTGTCACAAACACCTTTAATAATTGCATTTTTTAAAGAAATAATTAATTGACAGTTTTAATTCCATATAGACTCTGTAACAAACATATATTAAAATTGTTTTGAAATATTGCTGATATTTCTGAAGATAATCTTTTTCCGTAAAATGGTTGGAACACACGACGTAATTTCTATTTAAATATTCTGGCCCTTTCGTTTTCAAAATCTTGTCTAACTGGGACTTTCTACATACTGTTACCTCATGATCAAAATCGATCTAACTGTGATCATATTACCTTCTCCAGGTCTTTCGAATATTTCACTGCATGAGGGTCTTCTTTAATTATGGGTATTCTTCTTCTAATATTTTCTATAAAAAGTTCTTTAAATAACTTCTCTTTTAACAATTTTGTCGTATATTTCGTATGTAGTGCTATAAATCTATGACTTTCATTTAACGGATTCGTATGACTGACTTGTATGACGGACACTTTGTATGACGATATCTTTTCGTATGTCGGTCTCTCTTCGTGTGGTAATACCACTTTCGACGGACTGCCTCGAATGGCGGGAAAATGTCCCTTTTATCTGCTCTCCAGTAGCGTGTGCAAAAATCAACTCATCATGAGTCGGCCATGGAAGGGAAATCAACTTCCTTTCAAAATCGAAAGTTTCTCTTGACATTCGTTTTTTGTAAAATTCGTTGAAGTTTAAAATATTATTTTCTATTAATTTATAAATCTTTTTCTCTACTTTGTTACTTTGCTCAAATTGACTTTCCTTCCGATTTCCAGATTCTCACATAATGTATAAATATAAAAAAGTAATTTACACATATATTGACTCATTACTGCAATCTGTTAGAACGCTTTATTCGCGAATAAAAATGTTTTTGAATTTTCTGACCCACCAGTGTCCAAGCGCTACCGTTCTCCGAACACTGGTAGTTCAGTCGTGAGTTTGTGCCTCACCCAGGCCGGGCTGGCGAAGTGGAGTTTTCCATGTTTTCTCCACGTCTGTAATGCCTGAATAGGGGATAGTTACCATTGAAAAGACCTACCCGAAGGCATCCCAAGTGTTGCGTTTTCGTAACAAACAAACAAACAAATTTTTCCTATAGAACAAAGTTTCGTTAGTTAAATCCAGATTTTACTGCAATTGCTGAATTAATAAATTATGAGGGTCCACATAGAAGCTTTCTACAGACGTAAGGATTCGATGCGGATTCTTATGTATATTATTAATTATTGTAAAAAGATAAAAAAAAGTTTACCTTTGAGCATAGAGATGAGTTTTTAAAAGTATTGTAAACTCCAATAATGGATAAAGTTTTCATTATGTCTGATCCCAGTCGAAATATGACAAGTAATCCTCTCTATTCCCTCATTCCCTCGAGTTGCATATTCCAAAATTTAGTATCATTAGTTCCATTTATTTACAAGTTACTCACCAAATTTCATTTATACCCTATCCTGAGATATTAAACGAAATAATGTTAACACACACACACACATTCATCGAAATCCGATAAGCAGAACGAGCTCTAGAGGGATCTGAATAGAATCAATTTAATTTCCCCTTCACACCTAGAATTCCTCCTTATTTTTATTTTCTGGGTTCAGAAGGTCTCAAACACTACTTTCGATCACAATTGTAATACCTTTCGGTGTTACGCTATAACAGCCGAGAAATTAAAACGAACTTAACATTAAGTTATGATAAAAACAATAACTTAATTATCTTTTTATTTGTAATAAAGCAAAAAGAAAGTAATTGGCTTCCTATCAGAATGCTCGCGTTTTCAGGCTTTCGGTTTCATTAATACATTGCAACTATGGCTTGATTATTCAATTAATCAGTGGATAAACATATCCGAGACTAAAAATTCTTTCGCTTTCATTATTACTTTTCCACCTGCGATATGACTATATAACAGGGCAGTACCGTAACTAGGCAGGTGCAACAGGTGCACCAACACAGGGCCCACTTGAAGGAGGGCCCAAAATGCATGTATTTGTTTTATTATTTTCCCAAACCTAATTAATTAAGGGATCTAAATGCAAATTCTTGCACAAGAATGGCTAGTTACGGCACTGTAACAGGGAAAAGTATGGTGATCGGTCAAAAATGTCTCCCCCAAGAAATTTTAACATTTTTGGATTCGGGAGACCTTGAAACACCGAGAAATGCAAAAAGTTTGGTGGTTTTCAGTATGTATAAATGTGGGTGGGAAACGATTTCGTGGAAAAATTTTGAAAGTTAATAACTCCTGTTTCTCTAGTCAAAAATTTTTAAAATTTTGCAGGGAGTTTTATGTATCAGGGCCATTAAATTTTGATGGCTAAAAAAGTCTAGGTGTGTGAAGATAGAAAGGGGTCGTGTGTCATACGTCGAGCGCAGACGGATTTAATTATGATTTTACTTGTTATTAGAATTTTTATAAAACCCATCTCTAATCTGAAAATTAATGTTTTTGACATTTTACGTAATTATTAATATAAAAAGCTTTTAAATATATTATCGTAACATATGGCGCCACACGCAATTTTCACTTTTTTGCCAGAAAAATTACGCAACTTACTCCTGATTTTTCAAAAAATAACCAGTTGGAAATAATTCTTTAGACTAGACATTTCTTTGATTATTGCCTTATTTTCACATGTAGAGTGAAAATTTGATCGATTATAATATTTTCCTCTGTTATGTAACAACCGAAAAAGCAAAATTGAAACACAGTATATAAATTTATATATGAAACAACTAATAAATTGATAACACTATCTCAATTCAAACGACAATAACCACGTGGTGTTGCGTCTACTAATACCAGAATACCTTGCGTGAGTGAACTTTAGTCAATTTTATATTACTACAGGTAACCCCCGTATAACACGGCACTTCTATAGCACGGATTCGCTCTAACACGGTTCGAGAATTGGTACCATCCCCCGTATAACACGGTACTTTTATAGCACGGATTCACTCTGACACGGTTCGAGAATTGGGTAAAACCCTTGTACAACAGGAAATGTAATAAATTTTTACATACTTAAGTAATAATAGTTCACGAAAATTATTATTTTCGTGAACTATTAGTACTTAAGTATGTAAATTTTCTCTTCTCGCCTTCTGTCGATACAGGTGGTCCTTCTCGAAACTTGTTTCAATGTTGCCAGATCGCGACGCTTCAGCTTCTGATGTTGCCGAATGTTTTTCCCTTATTCCATACTTGCTTTATTCTTCATAAGTGCTTAGCACCATATA